AAAGAAGGAACGCTGCAACAGGCCTACTGACGCATGCGAAGCAGGTCCATGCCACCCCCGTCCTAGAACAATGACCACCTAGTCAGGTCACTTCCACTTAAGGAAGGAGCACGGCACCAGACCTGGTAACCCAAGCTAGTCAAGTCCAACTCACACCCACTCATGTATTTATCCATCCTATTTTTAAAACTACACAAGGTCTTGGCTTTTATGACGGTACTTTTCCAACTTGAAACCATTTCTGCGAGTCCTGTCTTGGCTGGATATTTTCAGCACACCATTTACATCTCCTTTATTTAGTCCTGTTTTCCATTTATACGCCTCAATCGTATCCCCCTTAATTCTACGCCTTTCGAGAGAGTGCAGATTCAGGGCCCTCAGTCTATCCTCATAGGGAAGATTTCCGATGGTATAAACCTTGGTAATAAATACCGACAAGTTAGTTTAGAAAGACACGTATGCAAACACTATGACATATTTATTAGAAAATGTTTCGGTCCTGGGACCTTGATCACTTCTAACATACAGAGGTAGAAAGACATTATATATATAGGCGGAGAGTGAGCTGTGAGTGACGCACGGTGACCTGAAGAATGTCATGTTGGGATGAGGACGGTAGACGATGAAATCATGTGACTCCTGTGTTGTTGGGTTGGTGGTGCTTAAGTATCATGTATGCCAATGTTTTTGAAATTTTGTGGTTTCCAGTGTTACGTTCTATAGTGTCGGTGACGGCGATTAGTGAGGCTTCTAGTCACATGATTTCATCGTCTACCCGTCCTCATCCCAACATGACATTCTCCAGGTCACCATGCGTCACTCACAGCTCACTCTCCGCCTGTATATATAACGTCTTTCTACCTCTGTATGTTAGAAGTGATCAAGGTCCCAGGACCGAAACGTTTTCTAATAAATATGTCATAGTGTTTGCTTACGTGTCTTTCCAAACCAAGATTTCTGATACATGGGATCAACTTTGTCATCCTCCTCTGTACGTTTTCCAGTGCATTTATATCCATTCTGTAATACGGTGACCAGAACTGTGTAGCATAATCTAAATAAGGCCTAACTAAGGATATATAGAGTTGAAGAACAACCTGAGGACTTCTATTATTTATACTTCTAGATATGAAGCCAAGGATTCTGATAGCTTTATTGCGAACACTAATGCACTGTTGTCTTGGTTTTAGATTAGTGCTAACCAGAACTCCTAAATCCTTCTCGCAGTCAGTAGTATTAAGATCTACACTATTCGTTTATAAGCGGATTGGTAATTAATAACATTCTCAAGTAGGTGATTATTATTATTATTATAATCAAAAAGAAGCGCTAAGCCACAAGGGCTATACAGCTCAAGTAGGTGAAACGTTGTGTAGGTGAAACGTCGTACTAATAACCATCTCCTTTGTGCCTTTTAAACTCATCCTTCAGTTATATTTGTGCTTTTAAATCTTATTTTAAGGTCATATTTAAATTTTACTTTTGTAATTATTTTCTAAATATATTTGCGAAACACATAAAAAATTATAATTATAGCAATAAAGTACTAAATCCATTTTTTATAGTGATAACTTACTCCCAAGAGTCGCTCCCAAGAGTCGCTCCCAAGAGTCGCTCCCAAGAGTCGCTCCCAAGAGTCGCTCCCAAGAGTCGCTCCCAAGAGTCGCTCCCAAGAGTCGCTCCCAAGAGTCGCTCCCAAGAGTCGCTCCCAAGAGTCGCTCCCAAGAGTCGCTCCCAAGGTCGCTCCCAAGAGTCGCTCCCAAGAGTCGCTCCCAAGAGTCGCTCCCAAGAGTCGCTCCCAAGAGTCGCTCCCCAAGAGTCGCTCCCAAGAGTCGCTCCCAAGAGTCGCTCCCAAGAGTCGCTCCCAAGAGTCGCTCCCAAGAGTCGCTCCCAAGAGTCGCTTCCAAGAGTCGCTCCCAAGAGTCGCTCCCAAGAGTCGCTCCCAAGAGTCGCTCCCAAGAGTCGCTCCCAAGAGTCGCTCCCAAGAGTCGCTCCCAAGAGTCGCTCCCAAGAGTCGCTCCCAAGAGTCGCTCCCAAGAGTCGCTCCCAAGAGTCGCTCCCAAGAGTCGCTCCCAAGAGTCGCTCCCAAGAGTCGCTCCCAAGAGTCGCTCCCAAGAGTCGCTCCCAAGAGTCGCTCCCAAGAGTCGCTTCCAAGAGTCGCTCCCAAGAGTCGCTCCCAAGAGTCGCTCCCAAGAGTCGCTCCCAAGAGTCGCTCCCAAGAGTCGCTTCCAAGAGTCGCTCCCAAGAGTCGCTCCCAAGAGTCGCTCCCAAGAGTCGCTCCCAAGAGTCGCTCCCAAGAGTCGCTTCCAAGAGTCGCTCCCAAGAGTCGCTTCCAAGAGTCGCTCCCAAGAGTCGCTTCCAAGAGTCGCTCCCAAGAGTCGCTCCCAAGAGTCGCTCCCAAGAGTCGCTCCCAAGAGTCGCTCCCAAGAGTCGCTCCCAAGAGTCGCTTCCAAGAGTCGCTTCCAAGAGTCGCTTCCAAGAGTCGCTCCCAAGAGTCGCTCCCAAGAGTCGCTCCCAAGAGTCGCTTCCAAGAGTCGCTTCCAAGAGTCGCTCCCAAGAGTCGCTTCCAAGAGTCGCTCCCAAGAGTCGCTTCCAAGAGTCGCTTCCAAGAGTCGCTCCCAAGAGTCGCTTCCAAGAGTCGCTCCCAAGAGTCGCTCCCAAGAGTCGCTCCCAAGAGTCGCTCCCAAGAGTCGCTTCCAAGAGTCGCTCCCAAGAGTCGCTTCCAAGAGTCCCACTCAAGAGTCGCTCCCAAGAGTCGCTCCCAAGAGTCGCTCCCAAGAGTCGCTCCCAAGAGTCGCTTCCAAGAGTCCCACTCAAGAGTCGCTCCCAAGAGTCGCTTCCAAGAGTCCCACTCAAGAGTCGCTCCCAAGAGTCCCACTCAAGAGTCGCTCCCAAGAGTCCCACTCAAGAGTCGCTTCCAAGAGTCCCACTCAAGAGTCGCTCCCAAGAGTCCCACTCAAGAGTCGCTCCCAAGAGTTCCACTCAAGAGTCGCTCCCAATAGTTCCACTCAAGAGTCGCTCCCAAGAGTCCCACTCAAGAGTCTCTCCCAAGAGTCTCACTCAAGAGTCGTTCCCAAGAGTTCCACTCAAGAGTTGCTCCCAAGAGTCCCACTCAAGAGTCGCTCCCAAGAGTCCCACTCAAGAATCGTTCCCAAGAGTCAAACTCAAGAGTCGCTCCCAAGAGTCCCCCTCAAGAGTCGCTCCCAAGAGTCCCACTCAAGAGTCGCTCCCAAGAGTCCCACTCAAGAGTCGCTCCCAAGAGTCCCACTCAAGAGTCGCTCCCAAGAGTCCCATTCAAGAGTCGCTCCCAAGAGTCCCACTCAAGAGTCGCTCCCAAGAGTCCCACTCAAGAGTCGCTCCCAAGAGTCCCACTCAAGAGTCGCTCCTAATAGTCCCACTCCAGAGTCGCTCCCAAGAGTCCCACTCAAGAGTCGCTCCCAAGAGTCCCAATCAAGAGTCGCTCCCAAGAGTCCCACTCAAGAGTCGCTCCTAAGAGTCCCACTCAAGAGTCGCTCCCAAGAGTCCCAATCAAGAATCGAACTCATAAAAGTAAAATGTTCTCGCTTTCCATTGATACTAATAATAATTATTATAATAACAGTTATTATTATGATAATCATAATGACGATCATTCTTTAAGATCGTTCACTTCGACTATAGAACTAGTTTACTTATGGGACGGGATCTGTTGTATGTATGTTTATTGTGCATCCTTGCGGGTATGTGTGTGTGTGTGTGTGGGTGTATGTGTATGTGTGTGTGTGTGTACTCACCTAGTTGTACTCACCTAGTTGAGGTTGCAGGGGTCGACTCCAAGCTCCTGGCCCCGCCTCTTCACTGGTCGCTACTAGGTCACTCTCCCTGAACCATGAGCTTTATCGTACCTCTGCTTAAAGCTATGTATGGATCCTGCCTCCACTACATCGCTTCCCAAACTATTCCACTTCCTGACTACTCTGTGGCTGAAGAAATACTTCCTAACATCCCTTTGATTCATCTGTGTCTTCAGCTTCCAACTGTGTCCCCGTGTTGCTGTGTCCAGTCTCTGAAACATCCTGTCTTTGTGTGTGTGTGTGTGTGTGTGTGTGTGTGTGTGTGTGTGTGTGTGTGTATTGTGTAGGCCCTGTATGTAGCTACTTTTGTTGTTGATATTGCCCTGTGTGCGTGTGTTATGTGGTTCTCCTCCTGTTGTTGTCGCTGCCCAGTTCCTTCCGTAGTGATTCTCTGTGCTGAAGAGTGACTTGTTAATTCCACCAACAAAGGGAAGAAGACTGGTTTAGGGAGTTGTCAGCTGACACGATGCTCGCCACCTTGACACTGTTGACCTCACCCTCGACCAATATAAGGCAGAGTGGTGATGTCTGGGCATCACATCATCTCAGTCCATCACTGCATCAACATCATGAAGGTACCTCACCTCATGCAAATCAACTGTCTTACTCGAGCCTAGTGATGCAAGGCAAAAGCTTTCTCTCTTCAGATTGTTATAGATGACAGTTTTTCAAGGCTTTTAAAATATGTGGAGACATTCGAGAGTGCGTTACTGCAGCGCGCCTCTCTCACTATGTGCGGCCGTAGGATCGAGCCTACACCAGTCCTTGAGTTCCATGACCCACCCGGACCTGTAGTGTAAAGACACAACTTAGAAGATCCATTTATCAACCTTTAACGAAACACACGATGAATTTGCTGCATTACAGACATTTCTAGCTTAATATTGTAACCACCAGCTAGAAACTGAAATGACCCGGGTTCGATTCTCGGGATGTGCAGAAAGTATTAGCAAATATCCTTACACTCGCTGCCCTTGCATACACTAATTTGCCTCAGAAGAGGACTTTGACATAAGTTGTGTTGGCGAATTGTGAATTTCTAAATTACATTTTCTTCTCACTAAGAATTTTTATAGGGGTTCAAGTTCTGACTATTTTTTTAAAATATTGAATGCGTGGCAGACTCTAGCATATTGTCGGTAGTTCTACCATTAGGAACTTATACTAATGTTAAATCTGACCTACCAGACAGTGGCTCTGGTGTTCTTGCTGGTAGTGGTGCCATGGGCAGCTGCCCAGGGTGACTACAGCTACCAGGCTCCGTCAGTAAGGGGACCCGACTTTGCCTCCGGCCCCGCCCAGTACAACTTCCAGTGGGACGTCAACGATGCACCGTCAGGTAATTTCTTCGGCCACCAGGAGGAAAGAGACGGCGACATCACCAGAGGCAGGTGAGTCTACTGAAGCAGTGAAAGACATAATGCAAATTACAGGCGCATTAGTGTGTTCTTCCAACTCTAGATACGTAAATTGAATGGTAAATAAACTATAATTACTGTGAAAACCAAGATTACTCATATTTCTCCATCACTGCATTACCATCATGGTCCTGGGAACGAGGATTACCTATGTATATTAAACTTATTTGTGTATTTAGTACTTCGTAAAACACTTGAGTTGAGATTTGAGTTGAGGGTTGAAGATGTTTATTAAGCAGTACTCCGTCCACAGTTACTATGTACGGCTGCCTGACTCTCGTCTCATGCGGGTTGACTACTACGTTGACAGCACCGGCTATCATCCCACCATCACCTTCGAGGGAGAGGCTCAGTTTCCCAGCGGTCCTGCAAGTGTTTACTCCCAGCCCGCTCAAGCTCCTAGGCAAGTGTTTCCACAGCCCGCCCCAGCTCCTAGGCAAGTGTTCTCTCAGCCCATCCAGGCTCCTAGACAGGTGTTCTCTCAGCCTGCCCCAGCTCCTCTACAGCCTGTCCCAGCTCCCTCGCAGTTATACTCAGCACCAGGAAAATAATTCTTTACTAAGAATTGAACAGTAATTTCCGTACCGTTTACTCATCGACCCAACAACTGCGGCTGTACATACGTAACGCAGCTTCACGGCGCCCAGTGAACTATTATATTTAAGCAACAATGCGTCTCTCCCGCCCATCACTCTCTTCTGTTATGCTGAAGGATAAATGCCGCATGAGGTACTCTAACGTGTCCTACAGAGAAACACCTCCGCTGCCATGATCCTTCATGTATCAGTATAGATATAGATTTCTAGCTGTGTTTCCTTTCCTGTGCTACAAGTTATGCATTTTTCAAAGAACTTATTTTTCTCAAGTCACAATCTGATACTTGTATAACTATGCATGTACTGCTGTATTTTTAAATGATAAATCTTCGTTGCAGTTATAAATAAAACGATATATTATACAATTTTTTCATCATTGCATGTCCTTTAATGATGCAATATATGATATTAAACAAATACATTTGTCATGTTTTAAATGTTTCATCTCGTATACTCATCATGTTTACATCATGATCATCAACAGCAACGAGAACAATGAGTCAGTAATCTAAGCAGAATCTTCAGTAAAGTTTCATAACAAATAAAATTTTTCTTAATTGTTTTATTATATATATTCAAGGAGACATGTATAGCTGTAGGTGTATATACATAAAGTTATATATATATATATATATATATATATATATATATATATATATATATATATATATATATATATATATATATATATATATGCAAAACAACCACTCTGAAAGAATAGAGAAATTCCAAGCGCTTTCGTGACTACTCACATTATCAAGGAACTAATCATTATATATATATATATATATATATTATATATATATATATATATATATATATATATATATATATATATATATATATATATATATATATATATATATATATTAGTGGATGTATACAAATTGTTGAATTTTTATATTAGGGAATAAAGTATTCATGACTGCTGTTGTACAGGTGATATACAGAATTAATGATCATGGTATAGTCGATAGGCTGTAAACCTTGTTTTACTATGAAATAATTTTCAGGTGAGATTGTGAACATCAACTCACATCTTCCTTTCTGTGTTCAATACAATATTATCAAACTTCTCGTAATTAAAAATTGAATATTTTTTGGCAAAGTCTATTATTATAGGGGCGATAGATAGCCTTCAGACCAGGATTTTTAATCATGAAAAAAGGTAAGTCCGGTAGGTCATGAAAAGTTGTCCAGTTCAAGAGAATGAATATCCACTCATTTTGAATGTGTCTGAGGAAAGTAATTACGGATAAACACTGACAAAAGTACAGAAAAGTTGGTAGAAGCAGAAGAGATGCGAGGAGGATGTTATCAGTCAATCACACTTGAGGACTGAGGGACTGACCACCTCATAATTAACTCTTCAAGGGTGATGGACTGATTACGTCGTCATCACATCTCTTCTGCTTCTACCAACTTTTCTATACTCGACTGAAGAAACCTACTGTGTAGGCGAAACGTTTCGGAATAAAGATACCTAACTGTTACATATGTGTCTTACCTAACAACCTGTCGGCATTTTATACCAATTTAATATTCACAGACAAAAGTGTTGATATAAGGGAAAGAAACACTCACAGACTTTTGACCATCGTTCAAGTTCGACTTAACGTAGTTAAGATCTTGAAGTTATTATATACAAACTTGTTTAAACTTTATTACCATGCAATAAGAGCCTCACAATATATCTTAATAATTATAGCAATAATAATAAAAAGCAACAATTCCAACAACAATAGCAATAATATTAATGTAATAATAATAATATTAATAATAATAATAATAATAATAATAATAATAATAATAATAATAATAATAATAATAATTTCTGGCAAAAAAAGGAAAAATAATCGTGTTTGATGATTGATGATGAACAGTGATGAGCAGTGATGAGCAGTGATGAGCAGTGATGAGCAGTGATGAGCAGTGATGAGCAGTGATGAGCAGTGATGAGCAGTGATGAGCAGTGATGAGCAGTGATGAGCAGTGATGAGGCAGTGATGAGCAGTGATGAACAGTGATGAGCAGTGATGAACAGTGATGAGCAGTGATGAGCAGTGATGATCAGTGATGATCAGTGATGAGCAGTGATGAGCAGTGATGAGCAGTGATGAGCAGTGATGAGCAGTGATGAGCAGTGATGAGCAGTGATGAGCAGTGATGAGCAGTGATGAGCAGTGATGAGCAGTGATGAGCAGTGATGAGCAGTGATGAGCAGTGATGAACAGTGATGAGCAGTGATGAGCAGTGATGATCAGTGATGATCAGTGATGAGCAGTGATGAGCAGTGATGAGCAGTGATGAGCAGTGATGAGCATGTGATGAACAGTGATGAGCAGTGATGAGCAGTGATGATCAGTGATGATCAGTGATGAGCAGTGATGAGCAGTGATGAGCAGTGATGAGCAGTGATGAGCAGTGATGAGCAGTGATGAACAGTGATGAGCAGTGATGAGCAGTGATGATCAGTGATGAGCAGTGATGAACAGTGATGAGCAGTGATGAGCAGTGATGAACAGTGATGAGCAGTGATGAGCAGTGATGAACAGTGATGAGCAGTGATGAACAGTGATGAGCAGTGATGAACAGTGATGAACAGTGATGAGCAGTGATGAACAGTGATGAGCAGTGATGAACAGTGATGAGCAGTGATGAGCAGTGATGAACAGTGATGAGCAGTGATGAACAGTGATGAACAGTGATGAGCAGTGATGAGCAGTGATGAGCAGTGATGAGCAGTGATGAACAGTGATGAGCAGTGATGAACAGTGATGAACAGTGATGAGCAGTGATGAGCAGTGATGAACAGTGATGAGCATGATGAAAAGTGATGAACAGTGATGAGCATGATGAGCAGTGATGAGCAGTGATGAACAGTGATGAGCAGTGATGAGCAGTGATGAGCAGTGATGATCAGTGATGATCAGTGATGAGCAGTGATGAGCAGTGATGAGCAGTGATGAGCTTTGCAACTTCTGCACGACACATTATTTGTTCCAATAATAACAACATAAGCTTGTCGTAAACATATGCTGCTGTAATACGTGGATTAGTAACGTAAATTATCACACAGGACAAGAGTCTTGACTATACAGTAAAACTACATTATAACAAATGCTCATATAAACACCGAAAAATAAATGGCCAATTTTTTAAAGATTTTCCAAATCACAATTTTTATTGGACGTTCAGATAGTTCAATAGTTAGATTGAAATCGACTATTATGTGAAACGTGTTGTTAACCTTGATTATTCTCTGGTTATATTTCTGATGATAAGTACAGCCTCTGTGGCAGCACTGGTGTCTTTGTGGATATGTTTCCTGGCTGAAGTGTCGTGAAGATTCCGTGAGTTTGGAACATGAATGAGGAATTTTGTAAACAGTGGAGAAGAGTTTAGCAGTAAAAAAAAAAAAAAAAAAAAAGTTGCGTTGATCGGTCTCATGGCCGTCGACAGCATATGGGGAAGAGAGCGACGGGATCCTCAGTGGATCTTTCAGAGTTGGTAAGCCACTGATCCTTCCGTTGTGACCCGCCACAAAGCCAGAGGCTACCATACTCACAACTATATTGGTAGACACACGGCGTTGGTATTTGCTTCGCTCCCTCCATGACCTCAGCGGTTACCATAAAACTGGTCATCATACGACAGATCCTGGACAGGTTGATTAATTTCTGTAGAACGCAGTGGCAGTTAGCTCTCTGCATTTATAATCTCGGGAGGAGAGAAATAATAGACTTCAGCATCCTCCTTCGTATCTCCAGTGGCTCTCTCTCCCCACAAGGGAGTACAGCAGACAATTGGGTATCTACCCACGGTCCCCTGGGTAATTCAGAGTTGTAAACAAAGAACAATTTGCTGCCCAAGAAGCATCAACGTAACGTTTTTTTAACCTGCTTCATCACATGGTCTGTGTTCTGGCTTTCTTTCCTGTTCTTGCTTACGCGACTTAATGATGATGAAGGAAGGACCGAAAGAGGCTTTATCAGGTCGTGTAGATAAAACGTCGTACTGAAAAAGATCTCCTTTGTGACTTTTAAACTCATTCTTCAGTTTCATCAGTGCGTTTAAAACTTACTTTCATATATTTAAATTTTACTTCAAAATAAGATTTTGTAATTTATTCGCGATAAACATAAAAAAAAATGATTACAGTAAGAAATTCATAAATCCATTGATTTATAGAGAACATTTTGCTAACTCACTCCCAAGAGTCCCACTCAAGAGTGTCTCTCAAGAGTTAAAATGTTCTCGCCGTCCATTGATACAAATAAGAGTTATTATTATCGTAATAATAGTTATTATGATAATCATAATGATCATTCTTCACGATCATTCACTTCGATTAGGCTAAAAAACTAGTTTACTTATGTATTTAACTCTGGTATGTTATGTGACGGGATCTGTTGCATGTTTGTTGTGTAGCCCTGTGTGTGTGTGTGTGTGTGTGTGTGTGTGTGTGTGTGTGTGTGTGTGTGTGTGTGTGTGTGTGTGTGTGTGTGTGTGTGTGTGTGTGTGTGTGTGTGTGTGTGTGTGTGTGTGTGTGTGTGTGTGTGTGTGTATTGTGTAGGCCCTGTATGTAGCTACTTTTGTTGTTGATATTGCCCTGTGTGTGCGTGTGTTATGTGGTTCTCCTCCTGTTGTTGTCGCTGCCCAGTTCCTTCCGTAGTGATTCTCTGTGCTGAAGAGTGACTTGTTAATTCCACCAACAAAGGGAAGAAGACTGGTTTAGGGAGTTGTCAGCTGACACGATGCTCGCCACCTTGACACTGTTGACCTCACCCTCGACCAATATAAGACAGAGTGGTGATGTCTGGGCATCACATCATCTCAGTCCATCACTGCATCGACATCATGAAGGTACCTCACCTCATGCAAATCACCTGTCTTACTCGAGCCTAGTGATTGCAAGGCAAAAGCTTTCTCTTGAGATTGTTAGAGAAGACAGT